AGAACAGTACACTCCCCGTTCAAATCCAATAATCCAATAATCCAATATTCGATTGAGTGGCAAAAAAGAGGTCTTCCGCATGCTCATATATTGATTTGGTTGAAAAACAAAATAACTCCAATTCAAATTGACAATGTGATTTCCGCTGAGCTACCAAATCCACAGGAAGATCCCGTTCTATTTGAAATTGTGAGAAAAAATATGATTCACGGACCATGTGGGCGATGGAATCCGAACTCACCTTGCATGAAGGATGGAAAGTGTACCAAAAAGTATCCACGTGAACTGATACAAGAGACACAAACAGGTTCTGATGGATATCCAATGTACAGACGTCGTAAACCAGATGATGGAGGCCATGCATGCGTTATCAAAGTGAAAAATATTGACGTCACTGTTGATAATAGGTGGATTGTACCATACAATCCCCTATTATCGAAAATGTTCAATGCACATATCAATGTTGAATACTGCAATTCAGTAAAATCCATCAAATACATATTGAAGTATGTCCATAAGGGCAGTGATATGGCAGTTTTTGGACTTTCCAACGGAAACGCAAATGACGAAATATCTCAATATCAAATGGGACGTTACATTAGCAGTAATGAAGCAGTCTGGCGAATTCTTGGTTTTAATATTCACGAACGATATCCATCTGTTATGCATCTATCCGTTCACCTGGAAAATGGTCAACGTGTATATTTTACCGAAGAAAATGCACAAGAACGAGCCACAAATCCGAAAAACACCACATTAACAGCATTTTTCCAACTTTGCCGGAGTGACGCATTTGCGAAAACATTGTTGTATTCTGAAGTGGCCAAATACTATACTTGGGATGATAAAAAAAAATGAATTTTTCAGAAGAAAACAAGGTACGTAAATGTTTTTGTCAACCACTAATTGTGAGATAATAATTAAAAAAGAATAAATCTTCTTTAAGGTTCTCGAAATCCCGAATACGCTGGAATTTTCGCAAGTAGTGCATTGGGTAGAGTGTATACCATTCATCCAAACAATTCTGAATGCTATTTCCTAAGAATGCTTTTACATACAGTGAAGGGACCAACATCATTTGAGGATTTAAGAACTGTGAATGGAGAGCTATGTCAAACAAACAGAGAAGCTTGCCTTAAACTTGGTCTACTGGAAAATGATGATCATTGGGATAAGGCATTGGAAGAAGCAACACTCACATCGCATCCACGCCAGATACGTAATTTATTTGCAATCATCATAACAACCTGCGCACCGTCTGATCCAAAAGGTTTATGGGATAAGCATAAAGAGAGTCTCAGTGAGGACATTCTACGAAAAACCCGTATCCTGCATCCTAATATAGATGTTCAATTTTCGGATGAAATTTTCAACGAGGCACTCATCTTATTGGAGGAAAAATGCATTTCGATCAATAATAAAACTCTATTTCAATTGGGATTACCAGCACCAATGTGTAACCGATCAAATTTGACGAATAGAGATCTCATGCGTGAAAAACAATACAACGTATATGAGCAACGAGAATACGTTGAGAACCATGAGAAATTATTGAATGAAGATCAAAGACGAGCTTATGAAATGGTGATGCAAAAAATTGCAAAGGATAACGGCGGAATCATTTTCCTTGATGCTCCAGGAGGCACAGGCAAAACATTCCTATTGAACTTGATTCTGGCAAAAGTTCGATCAGAGGAAGACATAGCGGTCGCTGTTGCATCATCAGGAATAGGTAAACCATTATTTGTCTATACTAATGAAATCTTACGTTTATGTAAATTATAATATCTATGCTATTTTTCAAATCATATAGCGTCAACATTGCTCAATGGTGGAAGAACAGCACATTCAACATTTAAATTGCCATTAAATTATAATCAAAATGAGACACCCACGTGTAACATTGGTAAAAATTCAGGTATGAATATAGAATTACAATCATGCGAAACAATTTAAACAATAAATGATTTACTCTTACAGCCATGGCAAAAGTTTTACAAATGTGTAAAATAATTGTTTGGGATGAATGTTCAATGGCACATAAAAGGTCGTTCGAAGCGTTAGATCGTACTCTACGTGACTTGAAGGGGAACGATCATCCAATGGGAAAAATAATCGTATTACTAGCAGGCGATTTTCGACAAATATTGCCTGTTATTCCACGGTCAACGCCTGCAGATGAAATAAATGCCTGCCTAAAATCATCATACCTGTGGCAGCATGTAGAAAAAATGCAACTAGAAACAAACATGCGTATACACTTAAACAACGATTCATCGGCAAAAGTATTCTCAAAACAACTGTTGAATATAGGCAATTGAAAGCATCCAACTGACCCAAATACGAATGAAATATCGTTTCCAGCGAATTTTTGTCGAATGCAGTCTTCTCTTCAAGAAATGATCAATAGTGTTTATCCTAATATTTCAAATAACTACAAAAATCATGATTGGTTATATGAACGCGCCATATTAGCACCGAAAAATGATGACGTAAATCAAATAAATCATCAAATACTGCAGCGAATTCCAGATTCAACAGCAAAATTCAAATCCATTGACACAGTTACGAACGAATGTGAAAGTGTTAATTATCCAATTGAATTTTTGAATTCGTTGGAACCAATAGGAATGCCACCACATGTATTATCATTGAAGACTGGTGCAACTTTAATGATCATAAGAAATTTGGATCCACCAAAACTGTGCAATGGAACTAGAGTTGCAATCAAAAGTTTGACACAGAATTTAATTGTAGCAACGATAATGAATGGAAAACACAAAGGAGAAGATGTGCTTATACCCAGAATTCCAATTATATCTACGGAGTCACCTATTGAATTCAAACGTTTACAATTTCCAGTACGACTGGCCTTCGCTATGACAATAAACAAAGCACAGGGCCAAACACTAAAAATTGCAGGATTAAATTTAAGAAATCCATGTTTTGCGCATGGTCAACTATATGTTGGATGTGCACGGGTTGGCGCACCTGATAATTTGGTTGTTTATGCGCCAAACAAAAAAACCAAAAACATTGTATATAAAAAAGTATTAGAATAAAATCTCCAAAAACTAAATTTCAATATCAACATCTCATGTTTTCATTTACATATCACAATCTATACGTACATTGCTATTGCTGAGTTGGAAAAGTTCGTCTTACTACCGTTAAGGAAAAAGAATAAGGTTACGAGCGAGCGAAGCGAGCGAGTAACCGTCCAATTTGAAAGAAACAGTTTTTTTCAATATATTATTTGCATGAGGTAGCTGCTACGAGCGGGCGAAGCGCGCGAGTAGTTGCTAGTAATCAATAATTTAAATCGTTTATGTAGCTCATATAATTTCGTCCTCTATGTGTTAATAACATCAAACTCAATTAAATGTTTAAATGAAAAATACTATAAAAACAACACTTTTTTTATTTGTCTCATGAAAAGACTGGAAATGATCTAGCACATAATAAAAGGCGTCCCGCAATATTCATAACGGCAATTTAATTTGATTACAAACCTTGAAGAGCAAGCAATAGAGCATTTTTTTTAAATTAAAACCAAAAGAAAGTCAGAAAATTTCAGTAATTTTAAATCGTTTTAAATGCTACTAATTAATGTGAACTTTATTTTATTTTTTTAATGCGAAAAATAAATTGATCAATTTGCTGTTGGGGCTTATTGCTCTATTATTTTTATATAATTATATTTATTTATGCTTTAATGTGGATTGTGTCACTTGTGTCTGGTTTTCTGTGAGATCATTTAATCAGCGGACAATATCTAACAGCTACACAAACGTTAAAATTGTTTGCCTTTTTTGGTATGAAAATTCAAGGTAGTGCCAACCATTTGTGATGTTAGTCTTTGTTCTCTTATTTAACCTTACATAAACGATTTAAATTATTGATTATAAAACAAAATACGTTTTGATATTTTTTTATCTCTTTTCAAACTAAATTGGGTTTCTTTGCTTTTGGTGCACAAAATATTTTTTTAACCCGACAGCAACACTTTCTAATACTTTAAATAAACGTTTTCAATGGAGTTTTTGAAGACTTTTTGATTTTCGTTGCTTCAATTGAACTTGAACTTAAAT